AATGGAGTACTAAATGGCAATGAGAAAGAATGAAATATGGCCCTTTGTAGCAACGTGGCTGGAACTGGAGAGTGTTATGCTAAGTGAAATAAGCCATACGGAGAAAGACAGATACCATATGTTTTCACTCTTATGTGGATCCTGAGAAACTTAACAGAAACCCATGGGGGAGGGGAAGGAAAAAAAAAAGAAAAAAAAGAGGTTAGAGTGGGAGAGAGAGCCAAAGCATAAGAGACTCTTAAAAACTGAGAACAAACTGAAGGTTGATGGGGGGTGGGAGGGAGGAGAGGTAGGTGATGGGCATTGAAGAGGGCATCTTTTGGGATGAGCACTGGGTGTTGTATGGAAACTAATTTGACAATAAATTTCATATAATAAAAAATAAAATAAAATAAATAGCCCCAGGCATTTAACAAGGGTAGAGACTCTGGAACTAGAAGACATCATAGAATTTTAAGCATCAAAAAACAAGTGGAGACTCCAAGTCAGGAAACTACAGATGCTCGCAAGGATGTGGAGAAACAGGAAACCTCTGGCACTGTTGGTGGGAATGTGAACTGGTGCAGCCGCTCTGGAAAACAGTGTGGATGTTCCTCAAAAAGTTAAAAATAGAACCACCCTACAACCCAGCAATAGCACTACTAGGAATTTACCCAAGGGATACAGGAGTGCTGATGCGTAGGGGCACTTGTACCCCAATGTTTATAGCAGCACTTTCAACAATAGCCAAATTATGGTAAGAGCCTAAATGTCCATCAACTGATGAATGGATAAAGAAATTGTGGTTTATATATACAATGGAATACTACTTGGCAATGAGAAAGAATGAAATCTGGCCATTTGCAGCAACGTGGATGGAACTGGAAGGTATTATGCTGAGTGAAATAAGTCAGTCAGAGAACAGGACAGATATCATATGTTTTCACTCCTACGTAGATCTTGAGAAACTTAACAGAAGACCATGGAGGACTGGAAGGGGAAAAAATAGTTACAAACAGAGCGGAAAAGAGGCAAACCACAAGAGACCCTTGAATACAGAGAACTGGGAGTAGATGTGGGGCAGAGGCACAGGGAAAATGGGTGCTGGGCATTGAGGAGGGCACTTGTTGGGATGGGCACTGGGTGTTGTATATAAACCAATTCGATGATAACGTATATTTAAAACATTTTTTTTCGGGGCGCCTGGGTGGCGCAGTCGGTTGAGCGTCCGACTTCAGCCAGGTCACGATCTCGCGGTCCGTGAGTTCGAGCCCCGCGTCGGGCTCTGGGCTGATGGCTCGGAGCCTGGAGCCTGTTTCCGATTCTGTGTCTCCCTCTCTCTCTGCCCCTCCCCCGTTCATGCTCTGTCTCTCTCTGTCCCAAAAATAAATAAACGTTGAAAAAAAAAATAAAATAAAACAATTTTTTTCATAAAATAAAATAGACCCACACAAAAAATAACAAAAAAACAAGTGGGGAGATGCAGCAAGAAGAAAAGGCCCTTTAGGTGCTTTGAACTGACTTCACAGAAAACTATCCCTATTCTTCACAGCTAAATGTGCCTTTCTGGATTTGGCTGTTGGAACAATACTGAAGTTGATAAAAAAAAAAAAAAAAAATCACCAATTTTTCCTTAGTTCCTTTTTGAAGACTAGGGAACTTTAGGGAGGGTAAGTGACCAGCCCACAGAACACCTAGCTAAGAGGTGTTAAGGTAGGGATTCGAATCCCGGCTCCCCATTCTGCCTCCTGCCCTTCAAGTGGGTGTCCTAGATCCTAGCCCCCACATAGGAGCCCTCACTGCTGCCAGTAGCAGGCCTGCTTTGGAATCCGGGGTCAGGTTTTGCCCTCCTCACATCCTCACCAGCTCTGATGTCACGGATTCCTTTGCTGCTAACGCAAATAAATCTGTTCTCAGGATGTGCCCTCACGTAATTAACAGAAAGCAGACCAGGCAGAAATGCTAGGCTGACTTCTTGGTGCCCAGAGCTCCCTGAGGATCTGCTGGAGGGACAGAACACCTTCACCCTCGGGATTGCCTCCAGATCTTCCAAGCACACCTGTTCAGCTGTGGGCTGCTGCCCCCCTAACCTCACCATGTGCCAGCTGCCAGGATCCAGGGACTTGAGATGTGGACTCACTTCTGTCACTGCTCCCTACTCCAGTAACTGACCTGGGTGCCTTGGAATGCACATTCCACCTTTGTCATATACAGATTATTAGAAGGGCAAGGGGATCAGAGCTTTCTCGAATGACATTCAAATCTCAGCTTTGCCACTTGGCAGGGCCTCTGACAGGGTGTCTCATACATATCAGCACAAAATGTGAGTGGTCTTTTAAAGGTGTAGAGGGAGAATTCAATTAGATGGTTTGAAAATAAAGAGCCACCCCCACATAGTGTAGCCAGGTGGATCAGAGCCATGTCTCTAGCAGCATGCCACAGGGTTCAGTCCTCAGCCATGTCCTATTAAGCTTTTTCTTTAATCAGTGCTGTATATGAAAATATAGACAGCAGCTTCATGGAGTGGATTAGAGCAGGCTTTGACATGGGATGGAATGCCATTCAAATCAGCTTTACCACTTGGCCATATGATCTTGAGGAAGTCACTTAACTTCTCTGAACCTCGGTTTTCTCTCTTATAGGGTGATTATGTGAATTAGTTGATAAGATCTATGTCTGGCATACAGTAAGCAGTCAATAAATGGCATATAGTTTGTGTATTGCGTGTGAAAGTGATGGAGTTTGGGAGGAAAGGCCAGTATGGTGCCACTGCATATCATGGGTCCCAAAATATCAGGTGACTCAGATCAATGGGAAGATCCAACACTTACTTCCAACAGATCAATTGTATATGCACAAGATAGGGCCTTCTGGCTTAGCAGCAGCCCGTGTTACAGGACTACTGGCTTTGGCTGATGGTAGTTGATAATGGGGACACTAAAAGCACATGAACTCACAAACTTACAAAGATGTCCGGTGTGGGGTCCAGTAACAGCAGTGTTCTCAGTGTCCTTGCCCAGTTGGGCAGGAATTCGGGAACCTGCTCACAGGAGCATGACCATGATGGGGAAGAGCCTTGAACCTGGGGAGACATGGCTGGGTGAGCTGGGGGTTCTAGCCTGGACAAACAGATGTGGCACAGTGTGACAGCTGCCCCATCATTGGAGGTGGTCATGTGGAAGATGAAGTGGCCTGACTCTGTGTGGTTCCAGCAGAAAAAAGGTAGCCTCGGTCTGTGGAAACTGAGGGAGGGAAGAACCTTCTATAAAGATGGCCCAGATGGGGCATGGGACAGTAGTGAGCACCCTGCTGCTAGAGACGGCAGGGATGTTGTACAAAGAGGAGTCAGCAGATCAGTGGCTGGGATTCAGGACTCTCCCTTCTAATCACTCACCAGGGAGAGATAGAGCCTTTTCCTGACATTAATTATTGCTTACTTCCTCAACTGTGTTGCCACCTTGTTAAGAAGGCTGATTAGGTTGGAATAGGTCACGTGATGGAATTAATTTGTCCTGCTTGGGCTCTTCAAGACTCCGAATGAAGTGCAAATCCCTAGGGGCCAACGCCTAGCTGGCTTTTATTCAGGCTGATCAAACTTCAGCCCTTGGAGCTTTTAAAAGACAGGGAATGAAAGAAAAATATGCCCAAACACACTGGTCTTATTCCACGCAGTTAAACAAACCCCAAGCCTCTGCTGATGTGAATGGTGCTCATCTTGAGTCGTGGGCACGTGTCCTCTGTGTACTCATGCTTTGCATCCTGGATTGCACAGGTGAGTCTCTGGCCCAATTACCTCTGCACTGCAGGGGACAGAGGTTAGGCTTTGACAAAAGGGCACAGTGGGACTGAATTTTCACATGAAAGCACTGAACAAATGCACTTGGGGAATTAGGCCAATTCCTTACAATATTCCAGGATGCTCCTCTTAACCAAATACTGAATGGATTCCTAGGAAAGCTGCCGAGCAAGCACACAAATAACTGCCCAGGTGGTGTGGCTGTGGTGTCCACACAGTCCAGCCTTAGCAGATAGGATTTCAGTATGCAGAGATGTGTCTGAAACTGAATTCTTGTTCTGGAATCATTGTGTAGAAACAGCTGCTGTGGGTGTGGATGCTGGGCACTGGGACCCGCCTCCCCCTCCCCTGCCAGTGCTCTGATGAGGACCGGGTGCTGCTGGCCTGCCCCCTTCTCCCAGTCCATGGGCAGTGGCTAGGCAAACTACCTTCCCTGGTCAGCCTGGCTGTAAAGGAAAGGCCATGATTTTTTTGTTTTTTGTTTGTTTGCTTGCTTTGTTTTTGTCATTGTTGTTTGTCATTTCTTCTTTTTTAAAAATTAATTTATTTTTTAATTTACATCCAAGTTAATTAGCATATAATGCAACAATAAGGAAAAGCCATATTCATCCAAAAAGCCAGGATCTGCCAGATCCTGCTGGAGCACAGACTGACAGAGTGAAGACAGGGGTCTGCAGCTTTCCTCATTAAGCAGGGCATCTGGCCATCTCATCCCTGAGTGTGTACAGGAGGCGATGAGCTTGAAATCAATTTAGCCTGCTGCATATTTGATTTCCTAGGGTCCACTCGCCTTGCGAGGAGACTTCATCAGAACTGCAGCAGGAGATCGCCATGGAGACCAGACGACTGGCTGAATCCAGGGGAAACTCCTACACCAGCCAGGGGCCCTCCAGGTAACCCACCAGGCTCAGCACTCACCTTGGGAACGGGGAGACTGAGGCAGGAGGAAGGGAGATGAGTGTCAGGAAGAAACCGGCGGGGTGGGGGGAGGGGGTGGTGGAGGGGTGGAGGTAGCGTTGAAGATTTGGAGAAGAAAGGGACAGGAGAAAAGCTGTCAGAAATCTATCACCGAGTAATTTCCTCTCAGGTCAAGTGTTCTGAGCTCAGAAAAATCTAAGAAAAACTGCTGTTATCTGAAATTGCTTTCATATAAAGTGATATTGAGGCACTTGCTCAATTCTGGAAGAATTTAGAAAAAGCCAACCAGGAAGGGTTCCAAAAAGAATTGAGAAAAAAGACCAGCAAGCCGCAGGAGACCGCTGGTGGACTTCAGTTGTGTGCAGGTGGTACCAGTGGCACCGTCCGAAATAGCCTCTGGCAGGTCCTCACAGGTGTGTGTCCAGACTTCGTAGCATGCATCTTGCAAAAGGATGGGGAATATTATCCAGCCTCCGAGCTGATGACGTCTGCACTTGGGTGTCAAGAGCTGTGCCACCTTAAAGAAGTCATTTCACCTTTCCAGGTCTCATCTGGAAACACATCAAACAGTGGGAGGGCTGCGCAGGAGATGAGCACTGACTCCCGACAGGTGCTCAACAAATGCGGAGCTCATTGTTTCCTTCCACTAAATTTGTTTTTCTACCAATGCCAGAGTTTTATATAATCACGTGTTCTACAGTTTTGGCTAAGATGGTTGCAAAAGTTAATTTGTCTAGTTATTCTTCATATTTTTCACTGCGGAGGAATGTTTCTTTCACCAGCCCCTTGTAGCTGGGCATTTACATGATTTCCAGTGTTTTTGTCTTACCAATAAAATGTGGTCTTAAGGCTCATTGATTGCAAGGAAGAAGACACCTTCAAACCGGTTCAAATCGAAAGACCTGGGGTAGGGCCGAGGCAGGAGGCTGGTGCAAGCTCAGACAGACCGTCCGGTGGAAAGGGAACCAAATGGGGTTCATCAGACGGGAGCAGGGGAGGCACCTGCCCTCTCCCTTTCATTTTCTCCTGGAGTGTCATGATCGTTGTGATTTTTTTTCCTGCATGTCTCCTCTGTTTCAGGCTTTCTCTGTTCACACATCAGTAGGCACAGGCTGGAAATGGCCTTTGCTATACAATCTTGTGTTGAAACACCCAACCCCATCCTGGAGTGGCTTTTAATTCAGAGGCTTGAGTGACTCTCTGTGGGTCACTTGTTCATTCCTGAGCCTGTTGGCTGAGCTGGAGAAGGGGGTATGATCTTGGTTCCAGCCCCTCAGCAGAGGGAGGATGGGGGGTGGGAAGAGTGTCCAGAGCAGAGAGGCTGGGCTGGGCAGGCACCTCAACATATGTCTGCAGCAGCTGTAAACATCTTTGAGCGTGGAATGTTTTCTTGCTTTAACTTACTCTTCTTAGGCAAAGCTCCGAAGTGTGTTATTAGGGTGAAGGCATATGACAACTCATGATGTGGTTCTAGGTTGCTCAGAACTGATTTTGTTGGGAACAGTGGCATGCACTGTAGGTGCCAAGTCAGGGAAACCAGATTCCAAGAAAGAGGGTTCAGGCTTTCTTCCAATTCCCCTCTGGAGGAGACAGGGAAGGCAGGAGGCAGGGCTGAAGGAAGCCTTCTTACGGAAAGCTGGAGCTAAGACAGGCTCTGGAGACATAGGCTGGCTGGTCTCAGGCACTTGAGGGCCTGGCAGGGTCTGGCTCCAGGAGAAGGGTGAGGGAAAGCTGCAAGGAAACTCGTGCACAAGGCTGGGAGGAAACAAGAATTTGTATAGCAAACAATGAGACAAGGGTTAAGAAAAGAATCTAAGTTGTATCTGGGTGCCTGTTCCCTTAAACCTTATTCTAAATTTTATCACCATTTGCAAATTGTATTTTTTCTATTCCGGTGCCTACCAGTCATAAAGAGCTCTACAAAGGCAATGTAAGCAGAAAAGCTGCTAATTCCCCATTTGAAGGATCACGCCTTTGGCAGAGTCCTTGTGTTAAAAGGACAAAGCCATAATGAAGACAATGTCCCTTATCTGGAAAGCTGGGTCCCAGACTGCAGGTGGTATAGGACCAGGGAATAAGGCCCTGACAGAGTGGAGGTGCACATCTAAGCCTGGGATCCTGCCAGTCATCTCTGCTTCTGCCCCAGCCCTGGAAAAGATAGCTTTCCATCTCCTTCCTCCCTGCACTAGCTGCCTGTCCATGTCCTTCCAGGTTGTCTCGCCTGATCATCTCACTGCGAGCATGGGCCACCGGGCACTTACACCACGAGGACCAGAGACCTGACTCCTTCCTGGAGCGTTTCCGTGGAGCTGAGCTCAAGGAGGTATCCAGCCAAGAAAGCAATGCCCAGTCAAATGTGGGCAGCCAGGAGCCACCAGACAGAGGGAGAAGGTAAGGAACCAAGAGGATGGGCCACTGGCACCAGGTGAAGCATTGGTTTGCTCCTGCAGCTTAGATCCACTGTGTGGGTGGCCCAGAGCACCAGCCTCATGACCTGTACCTTGAAGAAGGTGTCTGTTGTGGAGGAATACTGCATGCTCTAACAGTGGCTGCCCCGAGTCAAAGAAGGATTGCAGGAGAGGAAATCCTTTAACCAGAACCTCCACCCTCATTTGACCCTGCACAGAGTACCCACCAGTGCCCCCTAGAATTGGTGCTCTCAGAAACACATCTGGGGATGCTAGTCTCACTTGATCTCTCTCCATCAAAGGGCCCTCATCCCAGATTGCACTGTGACCCACTTTACTAAAAGCCAGGGGCTTTAATACCATAGCTTTGAGATTACCTAAATGGTACCCACAATTTTACATGCAATCTTCTGGGAGGGAGGTCTGAAGATTGGTCAGAATTTTCAAGAGGAGCCATCATACCCCAGATCAGGATAAGAACCATGGAGTTGGGGAGTGTAGGTGGGGGTAGAATGGGGGATGGAGAGAATGTTTACTTTTCGGTAGGAGAGAGGTCTGCAGAACAAGGGCTCTGAGCATTTTCTTGCATGGCCCACTGACTGATTGGGGGCTGTGGCTGGTGCTGTCTGGTGTAGACATAGTGAAAGAAATCTGCAGGTGCTGACTTACATCCCCCAATCCCACACCCTACACTCAGAGCTGCTTCCTCCCCTCCTCTCTTGTTCTTGGGAAGTCTCCCCAGCCTGTGACCAGCAGGGAGACCACTGGGCCACCACAGGTTGAATTGAGTGTGGCTAGTAGCAGAATGTCTCTTCAGGACCCCTGGGCTGTTGGAGGGAAGGAGAGCTAAGACATGGAGGGGGAGGATGACCGCCTCTGAGCCTCTCAAACAGGAAGCCTCTTGCTCAGAATCTGCTTTCTGGAAAAGGGGGCTGAATTCTGTAGATAATGCCAAGATTTATAAGATGTAAAGGTGAAAACAAGCCTGGTTATTGCAGACCAAATGGTCCCTATATAATTGTTGGAGAAAATCCTGTGTGTTTTTTTGTTGAACGAGAAAAAGGGCTCAGGTGTGAGTCTCTCAAATGGGCATCCAAGGGCCCCTGGGGAGTGAAGGTCATGAGGCCTCAGAGGAAGCAAGATGGATCTTCCTGGTACTTCCATTTTGCTTCCATGTTTGTATATACGTGTTATAGGTTTATTATAGATTATGCAGTAGATTGAAAAATGTGCAAGCATATTTAAGATAAAATATGAGAGTTCAAGGAAATTTCTTGCTATCAACCACTCTAGGGGAGCCACGTTTAGTCTCCCTGCTGGGAAAGCTGTGATAATTGGCTGGCTCACGTTTTCACCTGGGCTTAGACCACAAACCCTTGGGGTTTCTGGGCTTGGGGAAGGACCACCTAAGGCCTGGGTGCTGGTGGGAATGGGGATGTGTGCAGGGCCATCACAGGTTCCCAGGGCCAGGCATCCTAGACTGAGAGATAGCTCCATGACTGCAAGGCCAGCATGCTATTCACTGCTGAGCCATAAAGAAAGGATGGATGGCAGATAAGGGAGAAGAGAAGATGGGGGAGGAGGAGGTGGGGAGAGAGGTTTGCTACTGAGCCAGCCAGAGTGGTTCAGTTCCTTGTGGACAAGCAAAGACTTCTTTTGTTAACTTGATCAAATTATCCTATCTACAACCTTAGCCTAATGAAGATGAACATAAGCCTCTTTGTCCATTTCCCAATGTGACCAGATGAGCAAAGAGCTGGGCTAGGATCCCACCAGGGCCAGGTCCCGACTGTACCACAGATGCCTGGTCGCTTGCCTGAGGGTTCAGAGTGGGCAGGCTCATGCAGGCTAGTGGCGGATCAATTAGAGAGGCTTCCTGGGGGAGGAAGACTTTGGATTTTCCAGGCAAATCCCATTGGCAAAGCAAAGTGTATGCAGAGACAGGTCTTGGTTATTCTAATGGTTTGGCCTTATGACATCCCAGACACAGAGATGTGGTAAACACAGGCCACTGCATCTTTCCTAACTTCATAGGAATTGGGAAATTGCTTGGCAGGGGAGGGGGGCGGGTCTGGTGATCAGAACCAATCCCAAAACAAATAGTTAGAGCCTCGTAATGGATGGTGAGAGGGAGACTTGAGCAGTGGTGAGCAGAAGTACCAGGATGGCATTTGGCTGGATGTTCATCATCACAGAAGAGAAGAGGTGCCCTGAGAGTCAGGCAAGAGGATCACAGGCCACTGGCCTTGGTCCTGGAGGTCTTCTATGAGGTGTCTGCAGTGACAGCAGACAGGCAAGCCACCCGCCAGCTCTGTGAGGCCATGCTGGCTTCCTTAAACTAGCTGTGTCAAAAATGTCTATTGGCAATTGAGCACTCTGAGATAATAGCTTTTCCTACAGAACGCCGCAAAGGACCGTGTGATTCAGCTTTAAATAAACGTGTAGCTGGGCGCAAAACCAGCCTCCACTTTCTAGCAGATTCTCACATAAAACTGGGGTGGCAAACCCTGAAGTTTTAAGATTAATGTGGGGACAAGGGCCCAGAGCAGGATAGATGCAGAACTGGGACAGTTCTGCTCATGGTCTGTTTTTTGCCCTGCAAGCCGGAAGTAGCTGCTGTGATTGGGTTTTTGACGGAGGGCCCCTTTTGAGATCCCCTGCCTGCGCAGATGAGGGGGGTAAGTTGCTGCTGCTGCTGCCAAATGTGTCCATCTGCTGCTGAAGGTGCTCGACTCGCTCCACCTGAGTGCACCCAGTGGGCAGGAACCACATAGGGTTCATGTCTGCGTCCCTCAAAGCTCCTGGCACACTGTTAAACTGAATGAAATGGGGTGGAACTTGAGGCCAGGATTCTGGGTGGGATGTGCATAGTTAACTCTCTATTCAGAAGCCTCAGATGAGCCAAATGTTCATCTTCTCTTCCCCCTAGAGCTAGCCAGTCAAAAAATGTTTGTCCTGACAATAACAACACCCCAGGTCCTGAGAGGTGTGTGAAAAGGCCTGGGGGACAGGGTGTGGGGAGGTGCCAGCCTAACCACCTGGGGCAAATGGTCCCCAGTAGTTGGAACTGAGTTCAGATTCCCATGCCGCGTTCTCTTTACTTTCCAGCAGTGGCTGGCCGCTGGCCAGAAACAACACCAACATGTGCAACAACTCAGAGGAGTGAGTACCTCTGCTCCCCAGCAGAGCCCCCTCACCCTCCCTGGTCCCACTGGCCACCTACCTCCCCATAGATGTCCCAGCTTCGCCTCCCTGCTGAAATCCTTTCGCTTCCCACACTTCTAGAACACCACTAGATCATTCTAGAATCTGTTCCTTTCTCCAAAATTCCATCCCCATGGACAAATGGGGAAGGGACCTGGTCTGTATGACTTCTTTGAGCAACCCTCATTTTTCTCATCTATAATGCATACATGGTTTAAGCTTTGACATCCTCTATCGCTTCTGTATTTGAGGGTGCAAACTCAGAGTTCCTTTACAGAGCAGTGGATATTCTCCTTCATGATGAGAATGCATTTTCCATTCGACAACCCCAAGCTCCAGGGTGCCAGTGAAATGCCCTTGTCATAAGGCCAATTCAGGCCAATTTGGAGGGAGTAATTAGGACAACGGGAAGAGGGGATTTAAATACTGTATTTCCAGAGAATAGCCTCTTGAAATGGTGACCCTGCTGTAATTACTTTTTATCACCAGACGCTGAGCTGGCAGATCAGTTTGATGTGTGATTCTGGCAAGTGCCACTCAAGAGCCCAGGGAGGAAGTGTTGCATGTGTGTGATCATACACGTGTGGGTGTGCACCATTCGCCAGACTTCTTTATGGAATACCCCGGGGGCAGGCACAGGAGGGAGTCTCAGTTGGAACTTAGGGAAAAAACCATCAATATCAGCAAGAAATCCAAATTACCTGCCTTCCAACTGAGGAGAAATGTGCCAAGGCTTTTTCCTATTTCCTTTTGTTCCTTGGATAGAAGTTTTTACCATTTCCCTCCATGAAACTTAGTAGCATTTTGTCTGCAGAAATGTGGATATCAAATCCAGAGACCCAAATGCCAGCAATCAAGATAAATGAAATTATTTAATTTGCAAAATAGTAGCTATTGTGATATGTGCTTGATCTAAAGCCAAACTTGATGTTAAATACCCTTGAAACCCCCATGTTGAGTCCCACAGTCAGAGACAGGCTCAGGGCACTGGAAACCACGGACAGAGGTCCTGTAGGTCTCTAGGCTCCTCTGTTCGGGGGCTGGAATGTGGGCGAGGATGGGGCGGATGGTGTTGGTTGCATCAGGCTCTTATAAATCTTTTCAGATGGGTTCAAATCATGGGTCCACACTGCAGGCCAAGGACCGAAGGAAAAAATTGTGGACTGTCCCAAAATGTGACAATCTGGGCACAGAGTTACAGAAACAATTCTGATGGACACCCTTCCCCATTCTTCCACCATGTTTCTGGCATTTTAACTTAGTCCATGGGTCCTTGAATAATTTTTCTGTCTCCCAGAGCAAACTGTTCCCAGCCCAACAGGCATCGTTTGCAGCTCTGTATAGGTCTTTCGGGGCAGTGCTGGGTGGATTGGGGGATGCAGTTGGATGGTGGTGAGTCTTTCATGGGCCCACAGCAGGTTGGTAACCTCCCCCAGCCCCTCCACAAATTGTGACCTGATGTAATTAAACTCACAGCTGGTCGGAGCATGCCTGATAAGCTTGTGGGCAGCGCCCTCTGCTGGTGCCTTGGCATTAAGACTTCAGTGGCAGAAAACCTTTCAAAGGACACTTCATTATAGATTCAAGAGGAAAGAGGATGAGTGACTGTCCTTAATCTTCTCATTTAGCAAGTTTAATATTTTTTTATTTTATTCAGTTTATTCATGTACTAACTGTCAAAAACTTGGAAAACACATAAAAGCACCAATGAGCATACACCCTCAAAAAATATACTTCATTTTAACAGTAGAATCCCATTATCAGAGATAACCCCTCTTAACATGTTGGGAAATATCCCTCCAAGGTTTTCCATATATATTGAGTATATAGATATGTATATAGACAGAACATATTATATATGGAAATATATAATATATACTGGTATATATTATAATTATTATATGTTGTATATAATAATTATTTTATTATTACAGCTACACATAATTACATATATATGATATATTTATATATTACACATAAATTACATATATATTTTTAAGTGCCTTTGTATCCCAATTCATCCATAAAGAGCTTTGTGACCATGGGCAAGTTACCTGACCTCTCTGCATCAGTTTCCTGACTTGCAAAGTAGGGTTTGTATTAATGCTTTACTTATAAGGTTGAAGGAAGACTAAATGTGCTAATACATGTACAGTGCTTAGAATAGTGCCTGGTTACATAGTAAGTGCCCAATAAATACTGACTAGTGATGCGAGCAGAGCAATTTCACCGCCACCTCCCTAAAGATGTCTACACCCTAATCCCTGGAACCTGTAGAGAGGTTACCTTATATAGCAAAGAGGACTTTGCAAATGTGATTAAACTTGAAGACCTTGAGGTGGGGAGGTTGTCCTGGATTAACAGGTGGGCCCAATGTAATCACATGCATTCTTAAAAGCAGGAAGGGGAGGTGGGGAGAAGAGTGGGTCTGAGAGATGAGTCGGAAGGAGAAAGGAGGGATTTTTATTGTAAGAAGGCCCCCATAATTGCTGGCTTTGAAAAAGGAGAAAGGGGGACACAAGGCAAGGAATACAGCAGCCTCTCAAAGCTAGGAATAGCCCTCCATTTTCCGCAGCAAGAAAACAAGGACTTTGATTCTACAGCTTCAGGGCACTTAATTCTGCCCACAACCCAAGTGAGCAGGAAACAGATTCTCCCCAGAGTCCCTAGAAAGAAACACAGGCTGCCGCCGACACCTTGATTCTTAACCAGTTAAACTTATACCAACCAGACTTCCGATCTACGGAACTGTAAGATAACACATTCAGGTTGTCTTCAGCCACTACATTTGTCGTAATTTGTTAGGGCAGCAATAGAAAACTAATAACACAGCTTTTGATACCATGAGTGGGGTGCTGCTGTAACAAAGAAAGTGGAAGTGGCTTCGGAGCAGACTCTAAAAAATTTTTGAGGAGCATAATTTTATTTATTTTATTTTTTATTTTTTAATGTTTTTTTTTTTTTGAGAGAGAGAGAGAAAGAGAGAGAAAGCAAGCTGGGCAGGGGCAGAGAGACAGGGGGACACAGACTCTGAAGCAGGCTCCAGGCTCTGAGCTGTCAGCACAGAGCCTGATGTGGGGCTCGAACTCATGAACCGTGAGATCAGGACCTGAGCTGAAAGCCGGACACTCAACCGACTGAGCCACCCAGGCGCCCCAAGGAGCATAATTTTAAAAAGGAAAGCCTAGATAGCTTTGAACAGATTGGTAGTAGAAATATGGATGTTAAAGACTCTGCTGGTAAGGGCTCAGAAGGAAATAAGGAGTATCACAGAGAAAACCTGTTTCGCTGAAGCACCTTGTGCTTGAATGGTTGTAAACTGACTACTAGTAGAACCCTGGGCTTCCAGGATGCTGCTGGTAAGGACTTGCACATAAGTGAGGAGCAGGCTATTGGAAATTGGAGAAAGGGGAATCTAGGTTTACAGTGGCAGAAAGCTCAGTGCAATTACATCCTGCAGGCAGGTGGATAGCAGATCGGATAGGCAATGAGCTTGAATATTTAGCTGAGGATATTTTCAACCAAAGGTGTTGAAGGTGCAGCCTGGTGTCTTCTTGCTGCTTACAGTAAAACCCAAGAGGAGAGGGAGATATTGAGGGAAGAACTTTAAACAGAAAGGAAGCAGGACTTCATGATTTTGGAAATTCTCAGCCTACTCAAATGGAAAAGACACTAAATTTTGAAAACTGTCAGGAAAGCGTGCTTTGGGAAAAAGTCGGGTGTGTGGCTGAGCAACCTTCTGGTAATACCTCAGAGAGATCAAAAGTTCTGAGTATTCAACAAAAGGCTCTCCTGAAGAGATGAAGGGTGTGACTCATAACTCCCCTCAGCCATCCCAGCAGAAGCCAAAAATACAAGAAGGGATTTCACAGATCTGAGGATGAGCCTCTTGTCTAACACAGTGAATCCCTCTGATATACATGACATGCAATGTTCTGGAAGATTCTATACCAGCAGAAACACTGCCGGCTTGGACGTGAAGCAAGAGAAACAATATGAAATAGAGGAAGATTATGGGACCCCTAAATTCTAGATGCAGGAAACATCTTGATTAGAATACTCAGCTACAAACAGACAGGTACTCCCTTAATGAGAAGGAAGAGATGGCTCGGAGAGAGCCTTGAGCCCAGAGCGTGGAGCCACGAAAACCACAGAGGATTATTCCTAGGCCTTGAGATGAACTGGCAATTGCTCTGCTGGATTTCAGAACTGCTTGGGACTAGTAACTCTTCTGTCCTTCACTTCTCCCTTTTTGAACTGGAATATCTATAACTGATATCCTAAATCTGCCCTTCCGTTGTATCTTCAGAGTAGATGATTTTAGTGTCACGGGATCACAAGTTGCGCGACTCATGCCCTAGGATGACTCACACCTAGAGTCTCCCCTCGACCTGGTTTAGATGAGAGGATTTGGGACTTTTGAGCTGATGAGAATTTGATGCTACTTTTGGACTCTGAGTCGATTTAATAATGGAATGAAACTTTAGGGGTCTTGGAATGAGGGTGAATGCATTTAGCCCATGGGATGGATGTAAATCTTTGAAGGCCAGTGGACAGGCTGTGGAAGGTGACATAAGGGCTCCCCCAAATGTCCATGCCTTAATACCCACCACCTGTGACTTACCTCACACAGCAAAAGGGACTTTGCAGTTGTGATTAAATTTCAGGACCTTGAGATGGGGAAATTATCCTGGATTATCAAGGTGAGTCCGGTCTAATCGCATGCATCCTTAAAAGTGGAGAACCTCTCCAGCTGCAGAGAACCAGAGGGATGGCATCTCAAGAAGGACTCTACCTCTTGCTGCTGACTTTGAACACAGAAGAAGGATGCCAGGAACCAAGGATACAGCACCCTCTGAAAGCTGGGAAAGCCCTCAGCATACAGCCAGTGAGAAAATGAGCATCTCAGTCCTCTTCTTGCAAGCAATTAAATTCCACCAACAGTCCAAATGAGCAGAAAACAGATTCTTTCCTGGACTCTTCAGAAAGGATCATGGCCCTGACGACACCTCAATTTCAGTTTGGGGAGACTCAGACTTCTGACCTACAGATCTGCAGTTTGTGTTGTTTTAAGACACTAAATTTGTGGCAGTCTGTTCTGGCAGCAATAGAAAACTCATACAGCTATTACTCTAAGCTCTTTTGCTGTCTGCTTTTAACTTGGAGAAATATTAAAAACGTTTTCCTGTGTCACCAGATATTCTTCCACAACATCATTTTAAGGGGCCTCCTAGAATTCCATGGCTGATGGATCTCCTCCAGTTGTAGGACTAGATTGCTTATGCTTTTGACTGGTAGAAATAAGTAGTAATTATTTTTCTGCACGCATGTTTGCACACATCTTTGATTATTTCCTTAGGAAATGCTGTGTGAAGTATATTGGTCTTTTTCAACGAGTGTTTAATCAACAAACACTTATTTTTCAACCCGTGACTGGCTCCAGGATGTGGAGTAGGGGAATCAGAGGGGTCTGTGGATGAGTCTGATGGGTTCCCCGGAGGCAGGGAGGGTCTTTTACCTTTCCCCTTGGTTTCCTCAACTGTTCGATGGGCAATAACGCCTGCTTTGCAGAACATATATGACTGTTAACACATAACCTTTATAACAGCGCTAACCCATAACGTTGTGCAATAAAGAAGAGGAAGCAGAGTAAAGCCATGTGTTGAGGAGACACCTGCACTCCCAGAACCTTCCTGCAGATGAGGACAGAAGGCGGCTATCCAGCCCCCAGCCTCACAGTCCAGCCAACTCTGGATAAGTGTCTGAACATGGCTGTGTTTGCCTCAGATGACTCCGAGATTTGCCATTACGTGGCAAACCTGTTCCTGTCTGTGCAGATTTTGCTTCCTTTTTCCTCCCTGGCTTTCTCATCAAGGGCCAGCCTTTCATTTGATACACAGATGGGTTTTAAGAACAGCCAACAAGCCGTATCCTTCCGTTCGGAACAAAAAACCTTTACATGTGACTTCCAAAACTGAGTGACTTTTCCTCCCTAAATGTGTGGATCTGGGTTCATTTCCCATTACCTCAAAATGGTCTCAAGCTCTTTGTGGCTTCCTAGGGGCTCATGAAAATGGGTCAGAAATTGCAGAACATCAGCCACTATGTATACTTTGATGTATATATACAATGTATGCTTTAATGGGGCAGTTCACCTGGGGGGGGGAGGGTTCACCTCATTCCTCAGGAATAATAGTAACAAAATCAGTAGCTTCCTGTCATCCCACCGTGCTAGAAATACCCATTTCCTACACCACACCCTCTCCTCCATGTCGCTGTTGCCTACCCTCTCCACTGCGGTAGCATCCTTGGCATAGGAAAATTGCTAAATGTCACCCTGTATCATCCAGTGACAAGGCGAAAAAGGAGGAGAAAGAAAAAAAGGAAGAAGAGAAAAAGAAAAACGGCACAAAACAAGAGGAGTAAGTACTGAGAAGAGCTGCCTCCAAAGAGAGGGTGTGTGGTCATAGCAGGCTTGATCCCTGTATCGGTCCTGTGAGTCTGAGAGCCTTGTTGTCAGGCCTTAGCGTGGGCCCTTGGAGAGGGGCTGCCTAGGGCTGCGGGAGCGGAGTTGGACCCAGGTGGGGATCAGGCTTCCTGAGATGGTGTGAGGGGCCCACTCGCTCTGCAGGGAGAGTCCTGCCCCAGCTCTGAGCACCCGGAGGGGGCTTATAGGTAAAGAGGGTTGTCTGCAGCCTTGGGTGAGCAATTAGGGGCTGTCCCTGGGAGACTCCTCCTGTGCTCACCCACCCCACCCCCGCCCCCACCCCACATTCTGTTTGCCTGTCTGCACAGTTGGGGTAAGCTGAAGCCTAATCCTGGGCACTAGAAAATACTATATTCATAAACTTTACTCGAGACGTAGGTGTGGTGTGCGTTGGGAACATTCCAGAGACATGTCAGTGAGCTGTTGATCTTGTACCTGCTGAGTCAAAGCAAAGGTGGAAGGCATGCCAGTGTCTCCTCTGGGGCATGGGAGCAGCTCCGCAGGCCTGGGCCAGCACATGGGACATATGGGGTGGGGGAGAAGACACATGGAGCCAAAGAAAAAGAAGAATCTCCAGTACCATCTAGAACCTCTAGTCCTCAGAAAATCCTGACAATAAAAACAGAAAGCACCCTAAGCTATTGCTTCCTTCAGTGTTGGCCCACATAACCTAGAAGATTCCCAGGCTAGTTGTTTTTGATGGGAGAATGGCTCCAAGTGCTTGGAAATGTCTTCAGGTCATCTGCTCAAATGCAGTTAGCAGGTCAGAGACTCCCTCAGGAATGCTACAGGGCTCCCAAATGCAGTCCAGAGAGAAGCCGCCTCAGAACCACCGGGCAGTGTTTAAATGTACGTTTTCAGGCCCCAGTCCCAGGCGGGGCGGGGGGGGGGGGGGGGGGGGGGGGGGGTGGTGGTGTGCGTGTCTGAGTGGGCCCTGGGAATCAGCGTTTCACAGAGCTCCCCCCAGATGGTTCCAACATTACCATGCAGCATTTTATTCTCAGCACGCTGAAGGATGTAGGTGATACCACAGGCACATGGGAAATCATCACCATGATTTTATTGTCAACCGTGGCTTCCTAGGAAGCTGAGCTAGGAGGGAAGGACCTCCAGAGTCTGCCTTCTCCAAGCCTGTCCCCTCCAGTGAGGGGACACCCCATGTGACCCCCCTGAGACTGACAGGACCTGTGTCTCAAGTTTAGCCTGCAGTTGCCCTAGGGTCTCTAGGCTAATCCAGGTCTCTAAGACCCTCCAACGCTGTGATTTTCAACACACTGCACTGTTCGTGTGTCGGTGTTTCCAGAAACAAGAAGGACACCATGGTGGTGGACCCCTCCAGCAACGTGTACTACCACTGGCTGACGGTCATCGCCCTGCCTGTCTTCTATAACTGGTGTCTGCTGGTATGCAGGTAAGGGTATGGGGCAATGTCTCCACATGGGCAGGGGGAGGGGTAGAGAGGCAGGGAGGGATGAGGGCAGCCAGGCCTCAAGACAGAGCTCTGAGTCCCACTCAGGGGGCTGGATTTCTGGTCCCCACACAGCCACCATCCAACTGAGTGTCCCCATTTCTCCATCTATAAGGAGGCTCTAAAAGAAGACCACCAGAGTTCTCTGAAGCACTGGTGGGGGCCTCTGCTTGCTAGGGACAGCAAGGGTCCGGTCACCTCGGGGCCTTCTTAATTTGGCTGTAGGAGGAAGATGCAGGGCCGAGTAGCTACTCTTCTGAGGGGAAGTGGGGGGGGGGTGGACATTCCTGAGCAGCCTGCAAGACAAGGATGCAGGGGAGGTCACAGTTCTCTGACTGTAAGCTTTGGGCTGTGGGCCTCACCCAAGCAAGTTGCAGGGCTGGGATGCAAGCTGCTGCTCTTGTGAGGGCAGCCAGGGCCTTTGGGGTGCTCCTGAGAAGGCCCACAGGACAGAGATGCAGGGTGAGTGTACACAGGGGCTTCAGGAAATTCCTTACAAATGTACTTGTGAGATGCAGGGGCAAGTTATTGTTCTTCTGGGGAGAAGTGGAGGCTGTGGAACTTTTATAAACAAACTGTAGGAGGCAGGTGCAGGGTGAGCTGCTAACTCCCCTAATAAGGGGTCAGGGGAGTGAGGGTTTAGGGTCCCCTATGAAATCTGTGTTTTGGGAATACAGGAGCAAGATGCTGCTTCTCTGAGGGGGAGCTGGGGGCTTGGGCTTTTCTGAGCAAACCTACAGGATGGGGATGCCAAGGGGCTATGTTCTTCTGAAGGCAAACAGGACCTTTGAGCATCCCTGATTAAGCTGCAGGACAGAGATGCAGCTCCCTGTGGGCAAGGGGCTTTGGGGCATTTCTGAGAAAGTCTGTAGGAGAGAGATGTAGGGATACCTTGTTTCTCCTCTGATGGGGTTGGCGGGATCTGTGTGGCATTTCTGAGTAAGGTACAGGGCATGGAGGCAGGGGCAACAGGCCACGTTTCCTAAATGGTGGGCTTTGGAACCTTCCTGTGCAAGCCCAGGAGGCAGGCATACAGGGGCGGGCAGCGGCCCTTCCCGGGGTGGGCGGGGCTTGGGCGCTTTGCACATTGAGGGTGAGGCTAGACTCCTGAGGGGGCGGGGCCTGGGCGTTCTGCAGGGGGAGAGGGAGGCTAGGCTCCTGAAGGGGCTGGGCCTGGGCTTTCTGTAGGGGGAGGGGGAGGCTAGGCTCCTGAGGGGCGGGGCTTGGGCGTTCTGCAACGGGAGGGTGAGGAGGCTACCCTTCTGAAGGGGTCAGGGCTTTGGGAAGTTTCAGAGCAAGCGTTTGGGGGACAGAGAGGTAAGCGGCTGCTCTTCTGGAAGTACATGAAAGGCTTTGGGACTTTTCCAAGCAAGCTTTAGGGCAAGATAAGGGGAAGCTGCTACTCACTGAGAGTAAGTGAGGGCGTTGGGGGCCCTTTCAGGCAGGCCTTTAGGACAAGGATGCAGGCTGACGTGCAGGGAAGGTAGGGGGGCTTTGGGACAATCCTGAGCAAGCCCGCAAGACAGCCGCTGCTTCTGTGAGGATGGGGAGGAGACCTACTACTGAGTGTAAGAGGGGGCTTTGGGGATTATCTGCATAAGGGGGGCATCTCCTGCTGTTCTGAGGGTAAGTGTGGGAGTGAGAAAGGGGAGAACTTGGGACCCCTCCTAGCCTGCCTGCGGGATGGGGATCCGTGGGCGAGCTGCTTCTGTGCAAGCCAGGCTCAGGGGCTGCAGGGACACTGCTATTCTGAGGAGGCAGCAGGGGGCTCCAGTTGCTGAGTAAGCTGCAGGGTGGGGACACAGGAGCTGGCTGCTGCTCTTTTGAGGTGAAGAGGGCGTTTGGGGGTATAGTCTGTATGAGAAATAGTGAGCATAAAGATCTAGAAAATAGAAAATATTTACTGGCTGGTTTGGTTGTTCATGTCTGAGCAATTCTTAGACCCTAGGAAGGGCAAGTGCTCAATCTCTTCACATGACTCCACCAGTGAGGCCTAGAAAAACTTCCCTTCCTGGGATCTCAACGCTTACTGTTGAGAGGTGACAAGGGCCCACTCTTTGGGGTCCATCCCAGCTCTTCACAGGAGCTCTGTGACCTTTGGGACAGAAAAGCTTCTCAGAGCTGGGTCTCCTCATCCGAGTCTGGGGTGATGACACTGGGGCACGAACCCTGCAGGCAGGGCTGATACCAAGATGAAGGCACAGAGCTGGTGCCTGTGTTGGACCCAGCCCCAGACACACCCACTCCTTCCCTCGCGCGTTTAGGGCCTGTTTTGATGAGCTGCAGTCTGACCACGTGATGCTGTGGCTAGTCCTGGACTACTCGGCAGATGTCCTCTATGGCTTGGATCTACTGGTGCGAGCTCGGACAGGTGAGTGGGCCCAGGCCCAGGGACTTCTCATGGCCAGGCCACAGATTGACTTTGTGCATCAGGAGGGGGACCATGGGGACCACAGGGCAGGTTCAGGAGATCCAAAGTGGTGAACATTACCTACCTCTGACCACAAGAGCCCAGGCAGGTCTGAGGTTGTACCAACGGTGAGGGCGTGGTACCGCCTCAAGCTCTCTCTACAACGACTCTTTAGCAGAGGTCAAGATACCTGGGTTTTGGTCTTTGCTATGCCAACAAACTGTGTGACCTTGAGCAAGTCAAGCTGTCTCTCTGGGCCTCATTTGTATGACCTGTGAAATAAGACCATTGTCTCTCAAAGGATGCTTCCAGCAGTGACCATTCAATATCGCAGGAAACAGGAGGGAGAGCTCTGTCGATCTTGGAGTTCTTTTCCTGGACAGTCAGAGGATCCAGGACATGTTACTCCATGGCTTTTAGATATATGGAGGAATAAAATTGGAAACAGGGCCCAGGTGAATGATGACCTCTCTCAGATCGCCTCTGGTTGTGAGTGGAGGCTAAAATCCCTTAAGCTCCAAGCTGTTCATTCTTGGGGCACCTTTTTCTGACCTGCACAAAGACATCACATCAGCTGGCAGAGGCCCGGCTTGCCATTCTCAAGATTTTTGAGCTAGAAACCAGGCCATAGTTGTCAATACAAATACCACCAGATCCCAGCAGCAAGCCTCTGTGTGGCTTCACAGTGTACAAAACATTTCAAGTACATCTTGTTTTCTTATTAGGACCGCTGCATGAGACAAAAAACACAGGCGTGATTATTTCCATCTTGCTGATTGAGAAACCAAGGCCCAGCAGCACCTGGGTGGCTCAGTCAGTTGAGCATCCAAGTCTTGATTTCAGCTCAGGTCATGTTCGCAGGGTTGGAGAATCGAGCCCTACATCACCACACTGAGGATGGAGCCTGCTTGGAATTCTCTCTCCCTCTCCCTCTGCCCCTCTCCCTGACTCACACTCTCTCTATAAAATTAAAATGAATTGAATTGAATTGAATTGAATTGAATTGAATTAAAAAATATAGAAACTGAGGCCCAGAGACACTGAGTAACTGGCCTAAAGTCCACAATCACTACTTCACAGGGCCAGACTGGGAACCCTGCTTCCACGTGGTGCCCAGTACCATAACCGAGAAGGTCTCTAATATGCAGCTTGAGGCTTATGTGGGTAACTTAGACAGTCCTTGTGGCCTGCCACTTCATGGTCACATAAGCCTACCAAGACACAGGAGCTCCGTGGGTGGCCCGACTCACTGAGCCACCTATCTCTATTTCAACCAAGTTTCAGTGGGACAAGTTACCTGCACTCGGACAGTGATCCTACCCCTTTTTGTGCTTGGGTACTATCCCTGGCAATCTGAGATTCAGCAGAAACCCTCATGGGGAAGGCAGGTAGGCACGGAAACCAAATGGCCGTGGATCATACGCCAAGGGGAAACATCTTCAGAATTGAGAAAAGATATTATTAAGAAAGTAGTGAGGAGCCCCAAGGCACTAGGAGTGCCACATAGTAATGTAAGTACTCAATAAACACAAGGGTAACCAAAGAATGAAACAGGGAATGGGGGACTGGGAAGCAGGGTGGCCCTACCATGTGACAGCAGACTTGAGGTTTGCTTTTCACAGGGGGCAATCCTACCTCCATCTAGCCCTCAAGTGTGGCCCTGGTTCAGCAGCAGCATCACCCAGACCTTGTTAAGAGGTAGACCTCGGACCTACGGAACCAACTTTGGGAACAGCCCAGCACTCTGGCTTTTACAGAGTCCTCAGTATAATTCTGATGCTTACCAAAATCTAAAAAAAAAAACCCATGCATTATATTATTCTCTCTACTTTTGTTCATGTTTGAAAATGTTTAAAAAAAAAAAAAAGACGAAAGAATGCAAATCTCTACCTATTTGATTGATTTCACCAGTAATAACGCCTAGTGACTCCCCAGTGTCCAGTTCAGCTCCAGTCTGATTCTTTGGGGGTGGATCTCAGCTTCCTATGTTTTCAGAGCTCCTTGGATGACAGTAATGTGCAGGCAGAAAGAACTACTGCTTCCCTAGGCAATGTTTTTAAAAGGCAGGTCCTGCCCCATTAGGGACGGGTGAAATCAGTTTGATAGGCCATGACCTATGCTCTTAAAATTTGTATCATTAATATTTTCCAAACATATACAAAATCGGAGACAGTAGGATCATGAATCCCCACGTACCTTCACTCAGCTTCAACAGTTATCAATATTTTGCCAATGTTTCATCTACCTCCCCACACCCTTTTCTTGGCTGGAGTATTTTAAAGCCAACCTTGGACCACTTTAACATGTTATCTCTAACTTTAAAGGATGCATCTTTAGAATACAACATCCAGGGGCTCCTGGCTGGCTCAGTCAGAAGAGCATGTGACTCTTGATCTTGGGGTCATGAGTTCAAGCCCCACATTGGGTGTAGAGATTACTTAAATAAATAAACTAT